GACTTGGATATATATTTTATTGCTTATGCAAGTATTTCATTGCCTACTTATTAATTTAATTTAGGTGGATATATTCATATTTTTCATTTGATATTCATTTAATTTCCTATTAATATATTTCACCAATTATTTATATATTTGCCATTAATTTACTAATTGATTGATTGACATTATTTGTCTATTTTATTAGTACAATTATGACCCATGTAGTCATAGGTCTTCAGCCCTCTTCTCCACCCCAATCATTTTAATACAGTCCCTTCGTTTTCTAATCTCACATTGACTGGATTATCAGGGTTAAAATAAGTAAAATGACAAAAAAAAAATAGAAACCAGGAAAAAAGTGGATACATAAGTGCATTTTAGCCTGTAGCTTATTATTATTACACACCATATACAAAGGCTGTCTGTTGTACAGTGTTTAGTACTGTTTCAAATTAAGTTGTCTTATCTCTTACATAAAAGTAGCTAATGGAGCTTGCTTTTTAAGGAGCACAAAATTAGCACTTTTAGAAACACTGTATTCTGTTACAAAAGGAAATCCCCTGCAGTGTTACTGCAGAACAGATGCAATGAATTCATCAAGGGGGGCTTTCTAAAATGGCTACCACTGTAAACCTACTGGCTGCGATTCAAAGTCTTTATCAGTGACTGTGGTGTTGACACAGCTTCTCATTAGTGATGCCTTGTTATAAATAAACAGCTCAGCCATAACAAACAAAAAATAAAACCATCAGCCTATACAGGCCTTTCAATGCATTTTAATTAAAGAGCTCAGAGATCACAGTAAATTATCCACCATTCAATCGCATCACTATCCAACAGCTGTTTGGCTATGTAGCGCAATTAGTGACTGATTTAAAAAGGCAATTTATAGAAGTTGCAGCTTATAGATTTAGTCTAGGGAAAGGGAAAGACAAAAATCTAAAAGATATCAGAAAAGTAGCAGTTAGGGGGACAGAGACAAAATGTGCTATTATGGAGAGCAGCTGGCTGTCTGAGGTCAGGAGTTCAGGGTCTGTGGCTATAGATCGGATAAAAGGCAGAGCGTGACTAACCATAATGCTAACATTGATCACCAGCTGATTGCATTCAAGTGTCTATCTGTGATATCCCTGTTTCCTTGTTCCCTTTCCTTTATTCATACTATGTGTAACATTAGAGTGACGTTCACACACGGACACACACTGGGAGAGAGAGAGAGAGGTGCATCCCATATTGATGTCTGCTTAGTATGAATACATAAACACTCCACAGTCTTCACTTAGGTCTGTCTCTGTAGCCCTGTAGGTCAGTGTAATAGTAAGTGTGTGTGATGGTGTGTGTGTGT